TCATTTAAGAGATCACACTTGAGCTTAATGATACATTTTTTAAAGTTATTTTTCTTTTTTAAGATTTTATCAGGAAATTGGGGGAGGGGAACAGTTTGGGGAATTCGGGAAGGGGAACACACAAGTTGCTGTTCTTTTGTTCTTCAGTCTAGTTGTGGAGGACGTCGCTTCACTAGCCCATGTTGGCATTATCATTGTGCTCTTCCTGGGTGAGGCAGTCACTTGCCAGCCACTGGACGGTTGCTCTTGGCAGCTCACAGCAGCTCACGAAAGTGCACGCCTGCTGCCGGCCAGCCCCACTGCAGCCTACGCCGTTGGCGGTGACCCACAGCAGCCCAGCTCCAGGTCGAGCTGTTGTTCACCATCTCAGCTATAGAGGGTGCATTGTCACTGGCCCTTATGTGGGATCCGAACCGGACCCTGCTGCTCAGAGCTGGCGTCCCAAGCCAACTCTTAACCAATGCGCCACTCAGCCGGCTCTAAGTTATTTTTCTTTATCAGAAACCCATAGCACCTTTTTCTACAAAATTACATTGCCACTTAAAAAATGTTTGATACCACTACTTTTTTTTTGTTCCTTATTTCTTTTTCCATTTTTAGGTTAACATCAGAAATGTTTGTTCTGCTCTTCCGTAATTTACTGTAGTCCTCTTTTTCCTTTATTTTGCAGCATCTTAAAAGTCTTTCTTGCACGTCATTGAATAGAGCCTATTGTGGATGACGTGGCACTTTTCTCTTCAACTCTGAAACCTTGATGGCTTTGCTTTTTCTTCTAGGTTTAATCAAGGCGAAGAAGTTGCTTGAGTACCCAGCATATCAATCACTTGATAAGTGGGTGATGATGATCAGAGTAATTCCACAAGCTACCTATAAAAATTATTTCTGTATATGAGGTATATAGTTATATACCTTGCATGTTCCCTTAACACCAGACTACAGATTGTGTATTTTTTTCCTGGCCCTGCCCTATTAAAATATTGCAGCTATTTTTATGTGAGTCACATTAGCAAACACAGTGCTCCCTTTCAAGCTCCTAGATAAAAAGCGAATTGTAATAGTTGATTTCTACCTTCCCCTGGCCTTCATTCTCTTTCATGTGTTCCCTCTTTTATTGATGTCCTTAATGGAGTTGCTGTATTCACCACATTTGTGAAGTTGAATCAATTTAGAATATCTGGAGATACCCTTTCATGCCTATAATAAACAAAGTTACTAGTTTTAGACTTTTGGTAGAATCATTACAACATTCTATCAGTGGTGTAGGGATATTTTATTCTAGGATTTATTTTTTTTTCCCCAGAGTAACTTATGTCTCAACTGATGATTTACTTAAATGATTTACTGTGTTAAAGCAAATTGTTTGGCTTTATCCCTCTTGCTTTTGGGACTCCAAAATACTGATGCATGGTAACTGTGAGGTAATGGATATGTTAGATTGTGGTGATTATTTCACAACGTATACATATATCAAATTGGCACGGTAGTGGGGGTGAATCCTCCAAAGTGGGGACTCAAACCCTGAGCTAAAAAGGTTCTTGGCTTCACATAGGAAAGAATCCAAACGTGAGCCGATACAGAGTTTAAAGTGAAAGTAAGTTTATTTAGCAGGGAGTAAGTAAGAAAAGAAAGGCCACCGTACACACAGAGTGGCGGTCTCTGATTGCTAGTGGAAGAGAGACCCCTTCCATCTGGGGTTTATATGTGTTTCTTGTTTCCATGGAAAACTTCTTGGTATGGGGAACTTCTGCAAGGTACAAGAGGAATAGGGGCAGGTTTTACCTTGAACTTATGTAAGGTACAGCCCGTGGCTAGTTTGTAGTAGGTTTAATTACAGGAATGGCCATAATGGAATCTCTTCACTCAGTAGACTTCGGGTGGTCTGTTCTGTGTGATTGATTACATTCTGCCTGAGTTCTGTATCTGGCAGCACACAGGCTTGGAATCCAACCTTCTAGTTTCTTCTTCTATAAAAATGGTCCTTATGCCCCTTCCCTATATTAAAATGATCAAGTTGTACACTTTAAATATATACAGTTTTTAAATATTTTTATTTTTCAGTTACATGCAATATTATATCAGTTTTAGGTGTACAACATAGTGATTAGACATTTATGTAACTTATGAAATCATCACCTCAATAAATCTAGTATCCATCTGACACCATACATAGTAATTAATAATATTACTGAGTATATTCCCTATGTTATACTTTACATCTCCATGACTATTTTGTAACTACCAGTTTGTACCTTGTAATCCCTATCTCCCTTCCCCCCTTCCCCATCCTCCCAACCTTCTCTCCCATCTGGCAACCATCAAAATGTTCTCTGTATCTATGAGTTTGCTTCTGTTTGTTTATTTTTTTAGATTCCACATGTAAGTGAAATCATATGGTATTTGTATTTGTATTTGACTTAATTTCACTCAATATAATACTCGCTAGGTCTGTCCATGTTGTTGTAGATGGCTGAGTAATGTTACATTGTATATATGCACCACTTTATCCATTCATCTATTGAGGATACTTAGGTTGCTTCCGTATCTTGGCTATTGTAAATAATGCTGCAGTGAACATATGGAAGCATAATGTCTTTTTGAATTCATGGTTTGGGTTTCTTCAGATAAATAAGAAGTGGAATTGCTGGGTCCTTCTTTGTCTCTCTTTACAGCCTTTGTTTAAAGTCTGTTTTGTTTGGTGTAAGTATTGCTACCCCACCTTTTTTGTTGTTATTTCCATTTTCATGAAATATCTTTTTCCGTCCCTTTACTTTCAATCTCTGTGTGTCTTTTGATCGGAAGTGAGTCTCTTAAAGGCAGCGTGTGTGAAGGTCTTATTTTCTTGCCTATTCAGCCACCTTATGTCTTTTGATTGGCACATTTAATCCATTTACGTTTAAAGTATTTGATGATGGATATGTAATTATTGCTATTTTGTTATTCACTTTTGATGTGTTTCTTTTTTTTTTTCCTTAAAGAAGTCCCTTTAACATTTCTTGTAATATTAGTTTGGTGTTGATGAACTCCTTTAGCTTTTTCTTATCTCAGAAGCTGTCTCTCCTTTGATTCTAAATGATAGCTTTGCTGGGTAGAGTAATCTTGGTCATAGGTCCTTGCTTATCATCACTTTGAATATTTTGTGCCAGTCACTTCTGGCCTTCAAAGTTTCTGTTGAGAAATCAGCTGACAGTCTTATGGGAGCTGCCATGTAGGTGACTAACTGCCTTTCTCTTAACTGCTTTTAAGAATCTCTGTTTGTCTTTAACCTTTGGCATTTTAATTTTGATGTGTTTTGGTGTGGGCCTCTTTGGGTTCATCTTGTTTGGGACTCTGCTCTTCTTGGGCTTGTATTAATATGTCTGTTTCCTTTGCCAGGTTAGGTAAGTTTTTAGTCATTATTTCTTCAGATAGGTTTTCAATTCCTTGCTTTCTTCTTCTGGTATCCCTATGATGCGAATGTTGTTACATTTGATATTGTTCTAAAGTTTCCTTAAACTATCCTCATTTTTTTTTTTTTTAAGATTTTTATTGGGGAATTGGGGGGATGGAAACAGTGCTGGGGAATTGGGAGAAGGGGAACAGACAAGTTGCTGTCATTTTTTGTTCTTCAGTCTAGTTGTGGAGGATGTTGCTTCACTGGCCCAAGTTGGCACCATCATTGTGCTCTTCCCGGNCACACACACACACACACTGTTTTGTGTATTGAAACAGTGTGGACCACTATTTTTGTTTTTTGAGGAGTTTTTATTAGGACCTTAACAGACATACAAAGTTTATTGGCAGTGTCTTCTGTTACTCTGTGCTCTTTGAGTTGACATGCATAAATAAATTATAGCAGCCAAAGTTTATTATAGTGATAATAACAAAAGTGCTACTAAATGTGAATATGTATTAGTTGAAATCTTCAAAATAGAGTAGAACTCTATGCTCAAGCAGTGGATAATTCCGGTGGCAACATTATAGCTCATTTTCAGATAATGCTCTAGCATGCCATAGAATGTGTTAGTTATGAGATCATTATGAAACTAATAAATGGTAGATACGTTTTGCTCCTTTAACTTAGGTGAGGAATTTTTAACAGCATGTTTTTCAGTTTAGTTACAAGAGTTAAATGGTGGTATGATAACTGAATTGATTTGCTTACCAGTAACAATGAAATTTCAGGTTAAAGATAAATTCTTTGTATTGGAAAGTTTCAAGAATTTTCTCCTTGTATTTTTCATTTTTATCTTGGATTGAAAAATGTTTTTAATTAAAACAATGGTTTCATATTTACTAGATTCCTGTATAAATTCAAAAGAACAGATTTACTTTAAAGGTTCAAATGAGCATTTCTGGCTGTTTAAAATGTTGCCGTTTCTTAAAATTACAACTCTTTTATTTTGCAGAGATGGTTTAAAGCTTGAAACTGAATTATTGGATGGAAAAACCAAGCTAATATTGTCTCCATATGGTATGCTGTGTTACTGGAATCTAAAATGTTAACTTTTTAAGTTCCTACCTAAAATTTATACTAGCTTAACAGATTTTTTGCTTGTAATAGAGTTATATTTAAATGGCACTTTGAAAAAAGCTGTTTCCTCTAACTTCCTCAAATTTATTTTTTGCCAAGTTAAGTCATATTACATCACTGCTTACCACTGTCAGTATTTATTCATAAAATTTAATGTCCCAATATATTTCATGTGTTGTACATCTTTTCATTATACTTACATGTAGCAAATATCTTTATTGCCTAATCAGTAATCTAGGTGAAACATGTAATTATGTTTTGTGCATGTAAAGAATGTATTGTTTGAGAAAATTAAATTTATAGTAAGAGCACAGTTGCTAAAGTCATTTTTAGTATTAGTTTTAAAACTCAGAGAATACTTTGGTAGTCTTCTTATTCACATTATTTTCTTTTTCCCTGATCTGTTTATAGTTTTACCTTGGAAAATAAACGTGAAATCAAAATACTTGAACCACACTTTTAAAGAACACTCAGACAGGACCTAAAGTTAATGCTTTTGGGGTTAATATTTCTAATTGCTATCTTCTTAAAACAATGCTAATTAAAATTTTCTTTTGTGACTGCCTTAGTATGTTTTTGGTTGATAGTTTAGTAATTTTTTTTTTTCTTTTGTAGAACATAAATCAAAATTTTCTGTGAAGGTAAGCCAAATGACTTTGACCTGATCTGCTTTCAAATGTAAAATGTGATTTGGAAATAATTCCTGTCAAAATATTATAAGGGGTATGGAATGATGGTGAGAAGTTATTGTTTCCTTGCCTTTAGGCTGGTCCTTTCACAGAAATGGAATCATAGTTTTTCTGTTGAAAAAGCCTCTTAGAACCCTGTTTTCTACATTAGTGCTGTCTAGTAACGCTTTCTGCCATGATAGAAATGTTCTAAAATCAATGCTGTCCAATATGGTAGCCAGCCACTAGCCGTATGTGGTTATTGAGCACTTGAAATGTGGCTAGTTTGACTAAGCAAGTGAATTTTTAATTTTATTTAATTTTTAATTTAAACTTAATAGCTACCGTACTGGACAGTACCGTTCTCAAAGATGTTTAAAAATAGATATTCAGGCATTAAAACTAAATTTTTTTTATCCTCAAATTCCACTTTCCCATACCAAAAGGGTGCGTTTGATTCATAAATTCTTACATGCATTTAGCTTTCTCATTTAAGAGATCACACTTGAGCTTAATGATACATTTTTTAAAGTTATTTTTCTTTTTTAAGATTTTATCAGGAAATTGGGGGAGGGGAACAGTGTTGGGGAATCGGGAAGGGGAACAGACAAGTTGCTGTTCTTTTGTTCTTCAGTCTAGTTGTGGAGGACGTCGCTTCACTAGCCCATGTTGGCATTATCATTGTGCTCTTCCTGGGTGAGG